CACACAGAAAGCGCCCTCAATAGTGCCAAACGGCACTATTGAGGGCGGGCCTGGTATAGTGCCGGTTGGGCACCACGTCAGCCCGCAATAGTGCCGGTTCACACACGCACGCACACACACCACCACACTCCCAAAATACAGACACCGTGCTGCTGCAGTCCAACACAGCTCTACGCAGAGGCGCACCATGCCGTGTGCGGAAGGTGAACTGTGCCTTCAACAGAACAGAACGCCGAAGGCCCCTCATGGCCACGTCTGCAAGGGAGGATGTGGCGGGCGGCTCCATGGCACTTGCGGCAGCGTGGAGGGTGACTTCGAAACATCCCGCATCTGCAGTTCTTGCGTCGCTGCTAAGACTGGCAAGCGCAAAGCGACCGCAGCTGGGGTTGATGCTGGGGCGGGACCATCTAAACGTCCGACAGAGAAAGGGGGGGGGAAGAAGGCTTCTCGCGCGCGGCTGAGCAACGCTGACAAGGTTGAGGTCCTCAAGCTGCTGGATGCCAAGATTTCTCATGAGCAGATAGCAGATCGCTTTAAGTGCTCGGAACGGCTGGTCCGCAAGGCGAAAGCTGAACGGAAGGAAGTGGAGGCTAAGGCAGCTGCAGGCGACGGAAGCCAGAAAACCGCACGCAGAGGAGACTTTCCGGAGGTAGGTAGAGTACACGACATGCCTGGCAATTTCCTCTCCAACGTTGTTTTTCCCCGCCATTTTTCAAAAATGCCCTCATGTCGCCGATTTCTACTGCTGTACCTTTTTTTTTTTGCCCTTCCTTGTTTCTTTGCCTTTCCCTTTTCGTCTTTTCGGATGTATCATATGGTGTTTTTTTTTTTCATGTCACCTCCTTTTTTTCTTTCTCTTTGCCTTTTTTTGTTATGTCTTTGGCCTTCGAGGTCCTCGATGTCCACACTCATAGACCTTCCGGTTATTTGTCCTTGAAATTGAAAGAACACTGTTGTGTACATATTCGCACCCGCTTTTTTTTCAAAACAAACAAGCAGATGTAAGCAGATGTAAGCAGATGTAGCCTGTACGAGCGTCTCCTCGCAACTTTCCCTTTCCCCTCCCGCAATTTTTTCTTTCCGGGTGTAGTGGCACTTAAAAAACATCAGCTTTGTTTACGGTGTACCGCGGTGTCGTCCCTCGTATCTGCGCCGCGCAGTGTAGATGCTTACGTTTGAAACTAATCGTTGGTCGCTTGAACCTCTGCATTGTATACTCTTTTTCGCCGGCAGGTGGATGAGATAGTTATTGATCTGCTCGATAAAGCCCGGAAGGCCAAGATGCCCGTCACACGGGACGTACTTCGAAGCTTCGGCCGTTCCACCGTGGCAACCCTGCTCGCTGAGCCCGCTACTTCTGCAGCAGTGAGGGCGAGGGTCGAGGACTTCAAGGCCGGTGAAAAGTGGGCCAAGAACTTCGTGAAGCGCAACAAGGTGCTGAGTGCGAGACTTCATGGCGAGGCTGGTAGTGTCGACCCAGCGGCCATCGAGAAGGGCATGGAGGAAGTCAGGAGCCTTTGCGCGAAGTACCCAGCTAGGTTCATTTTCAACGTGGACGAGACAGGCATCCAGTGGAAGCTTATGCCCAGGTGCACGTATTTTTCCTCCTCGGAGGACCGCAAGAAGGCGCGGGGCTCCAAGAGCATGTACTTCAAGGATCGGATGTCTGCCATCATGTGCAGCAACGCCGACGGCACTGCAAAGGTGGACATGGCCATCATCGGGAGGTCGAAGGTGCCTCGCTGCTTCACGGACGCGCCTTCACCTCTGAAGTACTTCTCGCAGGCCAACGCGTGGTCTGACTCCGCGGCGTTCCTCAAGTGGTGGCTTGAAGTCTTCCTCCCGTTCATTCGGCGCTTCACTCACAAAAAGGTGCTGCTCCTGATGGACGGCTGCTCCTCTCACGGCGATCTCGTTGATGATCGTGGGCAAGATACCATCAAGTTCTATCCTCCGAACTGCACCAGCCTGCACCAGCCCATGGACATGGGGATCATCGCGAAGACGAAGGTCCTCTACAGGAAGGAGCTGCTCGACGTGAAGGCATCCACAATGTTGGTCGCTGAGACCCTTCGCGCCCAGGCCAAAGCCAGTAAGATGAAGGCCGGGACGATGGGGCTGGCGCAGGGGCACCAACCTCACCTACGGGACGCCGCTGAACTTCTTCAGAAAGCATGGGGCAGCGTCACTCCCCAGGACATCGCCAGGTCAGGTTTGAACATGTTCTGTTGCTATGTAGATGCTTCAACTCGGGCGGTGGTGCTAGCACAATAGCTTTGGTGGCACGTTTCGTGGCAGAGGTGGTACGGATTTTTTTTGAGAAAGTTTCCTGCAGGGGCATCCCTCGTTTGCAATAAAAATTTCCTCTTTTTTTGCTTGCGGATGAGTCAACTTCTGCCGCTGGGTCCGCCTAATATCTGCGTTGCACTCAAAAACGGATGCGGTTCGTATTCTCGGCAACCCCGCGACCAGGTGCTTTGTCAAAGCCGACACGCTTCCGCAGGAGATGGCGGCTGAGCTCACCAACCTCCACGGGAAAACCCAGGCCCGCATCCACGAGCCTGCGTTGAGGTCCCTCACGAAGAGTGTCCACTCGTTGAGCACGAGCGTGCACGACGCGCAGCAGCAGGGGTCTCGCATCGAAGACGAGGACCTGAGTGAAATGTTCGCAGAACTCAACATCTCACCCGGAGAGCCTGCCCCGGAGGAGGCGGTGAACTTATTTCAGGCGTGGGCTACCATCGAGGATGACGATGACGTGGTGGAGGCTTTTCGACAGGATGCAGCGGACGAAATGACGGCACAGCTAGCGGGAACGCGCTTATCTACCTACCGCGAGGAGGAATCCGAAGATGAGGCGGACAGTGATCATGAGGACACGGGGGGCGGCCGCCGCGCCCCACCGGCTTACGGTGAACTGTCTTCTCACTTCGGCGTCCTGGAGGTGGCCGCGCGGGAGAGTGGAAACGGGGACGCTGCGTTCCACCTATCGAAAGCGAAGATGGCGATGATCGCGGCGCATGCCCCTAAGGGCGTGCGCCAGACAGACATGAGAGATTTTGTTGATGAGTGAGGGGGGACAGCTATACCGCAGTTTTTTTCTTTTTGTTTTGTTTTCTTTTTGTCCGCTTCGTTGCTGGCGCGTTTATTGGTTTTGTTGGCGTGTCTCATCACGCAACATCGTAGGGAGGCAGCGAGGAACGTGATATTTTTTCAAGTATACTAAGTTGCACGGACGGGAGCTGTACACGGGGTTTGGCTCCGAAGGTGAATTCTGCGCGTGCATGCGGGAATGGTTTCGCGGCAGCTCAGCTATCAGAGTGGAACCCACATTGTCTCAGAAAAGGCTGCCCCTGCCGCCCACAAAGTATATTCACCACACTCGATCCACATGCTACTCTGTTGGCCTCGCAAATGGTAAGCGATACACCATGAACTCAAACAGCAGTGCCTCAGTAGTGCCAGACCGGCACTACTGAGGGATATCGATCACCCGAATAGTGCCGTTTGGCACTATTGAGGCACTATTCCCAGTTGTGCCGGTGCCCGCTATAGTGCCGGTGAACGCCCTGCGCACGTACCGGCACTATAGAGGGCCCCCCACTGTAACACAAACCTCTTGAGAATTGTCGTCTTTCTCCATGTGATGAAAACAAGGTATTTTTCAAACTCAACATGTATACAGAAAAAGGAGGTTGCGAGACGAGGGCGGAAATCGACCGAGGCTACAGCAGTATCTACATGTACACAGCAGTGAAGCAATTTCTGCGCGTCCCGTGCGCACCTGATGATGGAGCGCGACGAGGCCAGAGGCGACACCGGCTTGTTCGCCTGCTGGCACGGGGTTCCCCTTTTCAAGGGGTCGAGCCGTGCGTTTTTCATTCCCCACCTTGACAAGACCTGCCTGGGTGTTGTACGAGTAGGTTGCTCGCTGCGAGACACCGACAAGAACAAATTTTGCGGTCGAATCTCCGAGACGTGATGCAGCTGCTGCAGCTGCTGCCTCGATCTCAATGGTCGCCTTACACCGCCCATTTTTTTGGCGTTCTCCAGGGACGAATCTCTGTCCGCTCTCGGCCCTCTCCACGGCCTCCGCGGTGTACTGGGTGCCAAGGTCTCGTTTCAGGGTCTTCTCCACGGATGCCAGGGTAGCCTTCTTGAGGTTGATGAGGATTGTGGTGCTCTCGGAAATCCCAATCGCAGCAAAAGCGTAGTTCAGTGGGACTCCGAACTTGTCGAAGAACGACTCAACGTCAAGATGGCTGATTGCACTCGCCGCACCCTGTATTCGAAAGGTTGTCGTTTGCTTGCCCATGGTACGAGAGGCGATAGGAAGAGGGAGAGAGTGTGTTGGGTTGCTTCAACATATTCTATGGACAGCGCAAATACGCCGAGCAACTATGGATAATGCGGCGGAACATTGTAGGAGAACGGAATCGGGAGAGTAGATTTTTTTTTTTGACAAAATGAATCCATAGCGTCACAGCGAAGGGCGATATTGTAACTATGAGCCTGTTACCCGCAGGGGAGATGTCCCTATATGCTGTCTGGAAAACCGTAGACATACAGGTAGCTTTTCTGACGCTATGAATTCGTTGCTAGTCTGTCTCTGCCTCTTTTCTATGATAGAGAGATGGATTCGTTGCGTCATAAAAAAAAAATTTAGTACTAGACTACCGTATATGACACAAGATAACACACCCCCTTGGCCGATTTTCAAAGCTCGATTTCTCAACAGCAGGAAGAGTCACAGCGCCGAAAACGGCGGCGTTGGAACCGTCTCGTCGAGAGCTGTTCGAAAATGTATTGTTTCATTTATGCATCCTCTTCGTCGTGGAGTAATCGAGCTTTGAAAATCGGTCCAGGGGGTGTGTTATCTTGTGTCATATACGGTAATACAAGTACTGTATGGATAACGCGGCGGGATAAAGAGTCAACTTTTGGGCTGCAACTTTTGTGGATACACATCGCAACTGTGGATACGCCATTATGGATACATGGAACACTGGATACACCTGCACAACACTGGATAACCCAACGACACTCAGCATCTCGGCATGCACCACGCACAACAACTGCACACCGAGCACGAGGACAAGGTTAATAAGGAGCAGGTGAGATTGCGCTCTCTGCTGTAAGTACATAGCAGATGATCGCATCAAGGAATTGCTTCTGGAGGTGTTCGGCCGCAGACCTCATTCATGCACAGCCGAGAGCAGAACGAAATCATATCTCGCCATCGAGGCGGAGGACTGCTTGTTGCCTAATTGTATTTCGTAGAGACGACAGCAGCACCGATTGTCAACCAGTACGAGTTGATGATGGCGCATCATGCCAAAGAAAAGACCATAGCGAGCGGTGCTTGACGTCATCGCGGCACACGCGTACACAGCGCAGAGTGTACAGCCTAGACTAGATGGATGGTTCATGTGCATACTGCAGAAGTCTGGTCTACCGCACTTTCTTTTGTGACACGGGAGGCAGCCGCAATCCCCGGTTGATTTGATTACGACGTTCCCATTCAATTTGCGTAGTCTAATTCTGTGCCTTTCTCTCGAGCTCCCCTCCTTTGGACCCATCCTATACGCCACCGGTGGTTCCATCTTGTACACAAACAACGTAAACAAATACAGTATTGTATGCATGCATATGCATACAAACTACAGTAGACTGCCTGTTTTTATTAACTTCGCCAGGGTGCTTAGGTCCAACAATAGACCCCGATTCGCCGTTTTTATCTCTACCCCACACCACCACGCCGCCTTCGGGCTAAGTGTAGCTTTGTTCGAAATAGAACAAGATGCCGCATCATCATCAGTGACTGACACAATTCCCACCCTCATTCATTCGAGGCAGGTGATCTAAAGCTAGCTGCTTTCCAAGAGGTTTTGTTTATCGCATGGATCGACTGCCGCTCCGACCGGTCCTTACTACCATGAACAACCAAGAGCGACCCCCAGCAATCCAAGAACTAGCCATCCGCCAGTTCGCGGTCCACCTGGTCCTAAGATTTTGCAAGGCCTGGTTCATGGCAAGGGTTCGCTTCGACCAAAAAGCATCCGAAAACGCTCACTGCCTTGATGCTGCAAGGGCCTTCTTAGCTTTCGCCTCGTTCGCGTTCTTCGTGTTCGTGCACGCTGTCTACCTCGGCATCTACGTGCTGGAGTACGACGGAGTCATCGATCGCGAACACTGCGACAACTTGCTCAGGCGTGTAGAAGAACGGTGCCTCGTCTGCAACTTCTTCTTGTCCAGGCAGGGTCCGATGTGGGCATCATGGTCGAGGAGGGTCTGGGCAATTCTGCTGGGTGAAACGACAGAATCTGATGATGATCAGGTGTAGCTTTCTCTGGTTTTGTTCTTTGTCGCAATAACGTCTGAGAGACTGGTGGTTTGTTGAAGTGCAATTTGTATTCGGCACGATCGGTCCCATCCATCTATTCTACGAACCACACCGCCCGCATGCGTTTTGTCGCCAAAACAAGCGTTGGACATCGAGTTGTTCAGCAGGGAGAGAAAGGTGGCGGCGAGGGGGGAGGCAGGGTGTCTATCTATGTCGTACTTCTCCTTGGAGTCTCTAGACACCCGAGATTCGATGGATTGAAGTACATCGCGACAGCCTCTTAACGAAGAGGGTGCCGTGGACTTTATCTCTTTAAGTGGACGGCCGGGGAGGGGGGGGGGGGGGGGGGGGAAGGGAAGGGGGGAAAAAAAAG